AAAAATAATATCTATCTCATTCTTACACAAAATGTCACATCTTTAAGTAATGTTTTGGTAAGAATATCTTTATAATGTATTGTTTCGATTATATGGAAAAAAAGTATTTTATCATTGTTAAAAATTATTTTATTATATAAAATAAAATTAAATGTATTTTATTACTTAGGATATATATGTGCATATTAATTTGATTAAATTCGGACGAGATTAAATTAATTTGGATAGGATTATAATATTTTTCATTTTGGATTTTTAAGAATTTCTAAGAATTTAATATATTTTAAGTGTTATCTTTTTATTTCAGGCAAACGGGAGTCGTTTGCCGGAACGCATAAGAGTATACCGTGGAATTAAAAATTACAAAGACGTAGGTCGTGTGGTGACAATAGCAAATAGTACGAAGTTGAAAATGTGGTTTGGCAATCCTTGTAACGATATTCGTGGCACAGACGGAACCATCTTCCCACCGTTTCTCAGCAAGGAAAAAGAAGTCTGGGTACACTCCCTAGACATTTGTCGAAGTATTGGCGCATATCATCTCGAATCAGGGAAAGTTCAAGGTATCATAAAAACTTGAAAAGTCACGCTAAGTGTTTGCTCTTCGTCAATTCTGAGATATGTTAAGAAATAGAAATTAGTGAAGTGACCACGTTACAGTTAATTTTGCAACGCAGGTTTCAAGACGCTACATTACACAGCGGACCTGGGCGATCCGTCTGAGGACGAAGATGTGAGATGTCTTTGTCAAGAGTCCGAAGGGTGCATGCCTAAGAACATATTCAACGCAGATCCTTGCAAAAGCGTGCCTTTAAGGATAAGTCTACCTCATTTTTATAATTCTGACCCACGATACCTCGAGATGATTGAGGGTGTAAATCCCATCCCTGTAAGTTTAATAATTGTTTTACTCTTTAGAATAAATATAATTTAAAATAATAAAATTAATCTTATTATTTTTTGTTCTTCAGTTTTTTACCCATACAAGATACATTTTCTTTTTTTTATATAATTCCACAATAATTTATACAAATATGTATAAAGCTAATTTTGAAGCAAGAGCTAAAGGATAAAATATTTAATAATATAAATAAAAATAAATAAAATTAATTTTATAGAAATAATAAATTTATATAATAAGTAAATTTCAAGAAATAGTGTGAATTTATCAATAATAACAATTTCTAACCGTGCAAATTATGAATAATGAAACGATTACGAAGTTTACGAGAATTATAATAAAAGATACTGTTTGCAGGAAAAGCATCAGATGACTTTTAATTTTGAGCCGATGACAGGCACTCCAATAAAAGCGTATAAAAGGATTCAATTCAACGTAATAGTTGGACCCATCCCTAAACTTCGATTGATGAAATCCTTTCCGGAAGCGCTTTTTCCGTTATTTTGGGTGGAGGATGGCCTCGAACTCGGGAATATTCTAATAAAACCGCTGAAAGTTGCCTATTTACAAATTTTAATTGCAAAGTAAGTAATAATATTATCTTTTTATAAACCTTTTTTTCTATCGCATTATTGTTTCGATAGTTTAATTTCGTTTTATGAAACGTCTGACATTGCACATCAAAAAATTTGGCGAAATAATTTTTTCTCATGGCGTTTTTGCGCCGAAATTACTGCAGTTGATGACTGATCGATTTTTTTTTTACAGAATAGTGATGTGGCTCATGATGCTCGGTGGTCTGGGCATGTTTATTGTCGCTATGATGAGGTATTACAAAGAAAACAATGCGGACAACGTTGCGGATCTTATACCGGGCAAGGAGCAGAACAAGTCTTCTAAAAAGTTAACCGTTAGTACGATACAAGGTGAATTGGTACCACCTAAAATTGATTAACAGAGAGTAATAATTATTATGACACTAAAGAGAAGTTGGGAGATCAATCGCGCGATGTCGATCGCACTGTGTCGAAAACAATAATTTTTAAGATGTCATTACTTAGTTAATATTTGGATACTTTGATGACATTTATCCAGTAACAATGTTCCATTATTAATATACTTACTCAAATAGAAATAATATACTCGTGTTTTACTTTACGCACACAGGCCGTAATCGATTATTATAATTTTTATCAATATTGTTTTGAAAGATATCACTGTTGAAAGATATATTAGATATCATAGTATATTTTATTAATTCTAATGTTAGTTATTTAGATTGATTAATTATAATAATGAGTCAAACGCGAATTAACAAACCATAAATATGTAAGAAACTAGTTATTAGTAATTATCATTTTTGTTGTACGCTTTATTATAAAAGTTGTCTTCACTGACTTAGAGTACTTCGTCAATCAAGCGATAATTAGAACAATATTAAACCTATTCTTGACGTCATTAACTTTTATTACAACGCCATAAAGAAGAATTGCATATAAGTTATCTAAACTGTTATTTTATTTCTTATTACTATTACTGAATACAATATAAATAACACCTTATAAAAAAATGTAAAATAAATGAGCAATGAGAAACAAAATAACAAAATTCCCAATTATATCTTAATTTGTAATACAAACATTTTAAAAAATCAGGTTTTTGCTTTAAAAATACATATAAATATACATATATTATTTCCTGTACATAATATATAATAATATTATGAATTGTATACATAATTTATTTTGTATACATAAAAAATCTGGTAAAACATGTATAAGACAAGCGAATCGATTAGCGCAGAGTCTAAACGCAAAGCTTTTACTTGTATGAAAGCCTGTGATTTTTCCGAGAAAATATTTTTTTTAAATAATATTTAGAAATTTAATTGTTTTAAGAAAGATTGATAATAAGAATTTTGATTTCTAGAGATTGGAGATCTTCATACTGATCCAAGAAAAAGAGAAAAATAGGGATAACGGAGAATTAGAGAGATGCATTAATAAATTTTTATTATAAATTTAATCCTCCGTTAGCAATCTAGATCTTTTTTAGCACAAGAAAAATTTTACTTTCAAATTTCTTCAAAATAAAGAAAGATAAAAACCGATTCCTTCTATTAAAATATCTTATTAATAGTGGAGCTTCATGTAACAGAGATGTTAAAAAGTAATCCTGAATCTTCCTACATTTTTTGAAAGCCTGAAACAGTAAAAACTTGAATAAAAAAAGACCTAGATTACAGGCGGCGGAAGTAAGAATATGATTGCAGATAAAGGATTAATTTGACTCAAGACTATTTGACTACATTTCATAAATCTCGATCTTCGTCAATTGCAACCTATTGAATAACAACCGAATCCCAAAGGTATTCTTAATCAGACAATACCTTATAACTAATTATTAATTAATTGAAGAAACTTTTAGTAAAACCATCAACTGTTTATTTCTCTTTCAATATGTTTATTTATCATATACGTTATTGAAGATAACATGCGACAAGCAAAGGTCATCATGACTTTATAATCAGCCAGCCTAATTTTTTCTTTGACTTTGATTAAAACTTTGTTTTCAGTGTCACGTATTTTCTCGCGAGTCAGGGAGTAAAATTATACGTCGAACGCAATGTCGTCGTCGTTGGTGAAGCTTATTCTGCTGGAGATGCCGTGCTATTACGTAGGGAAACCGAGAAGACAACAGGGCCGAACAAGTAGGAGTACGCCGACGCCGGTCTGGTGTAAGACATCGGTGTCATTATCGCGCGGGCAGTCCGTTCGCGACGAGCCGCGCACGATCAACAGCGACGGCGACGTCGACGATAACGAGGACGACAAGGGTGGTGCGAAGAGTTCGGTCAGAAGACCGCACAGGTGCGAAGATAGTTGAAAGAACGAGGCTTCCATCTTGCGACTCTCGATATCTTAAAATATTTGTACAAAATTTTAAACGCGGATAAAGCAACGCGAGCAGTGTATTGTGTGAAAAAAAGGATTATGGAGTGAACAAGGATCCCAAATCTCAACAATTGAAATTTTAACGCAAGCTTATACGATCGATCCGGTTTTTATAAATCTAAAGGCGAGAAAGGAACGTAAATTACACAAAATGATATTTATCTGCAAAAAACAATCGGTAGAAAAAATTGTTTAAGGAATTCTGATACTGACACTCTAAATATATCTATATTGATGTTGAAATCACACAGATTACCGAATACTGAATACTGATATTGATAGTGAATATTAATATGCGGATACTGAGGAATAGATTATGCTTTTAGTTCACTTGTTTGGATTACGAAGATAAAAATAGAAAGAGAGAATCCACTCAAACGCAGAATTTTTCTCGGGTATCTCTTAATTTTTATTATATTATTACTTAACGTGAAATTATGGATAAATTAATTATTTTTTAATTAATTTTTTTTGTGTTATTAAATAATGAATGTTGCGAATTTTAATTCAATATTCTCAGTAACTAAAAAAAAAATGTTAATTTAATAATGGAATAAGTGGTAAAAGGAATATATCTTTTTCTCTACATCTTTTATTTTATATTCTACTAGATAAAAAGAATGATTTTGCTGAAATATCTAAAAATTTAGTTAAATATAGACCTGAAAATAATTTTATTTAGATCATCAAAATAATTATATAAAACGTATAAGTTACTAGAATATTAAAATTTCTTGCAGAATTGTCGTCAACATTCTACGCGTTAAATGTTCTACATAATTATTTTAACATTCCAACAAAATTATTTTTAGATCTATATCCGTTAAATTAGATACTTCAGCCAAATCGTTTCTTCTATGTATCAAGTTTAAGAATATTTAAACGCGCTATTTTAATTTATTGTAATATTTAATTCTTTATTAGTAAATTTTATGCATTATGTTGTAATACCCATCGTAATCTAAATGTTTACGCATCGTAGACAAAATTTTCATGAATATGAGAAGTCGATTAAGAGAATCTTAAAGAAGAGGAATTTTGAATCTTTTTTCATTAAGTGCAGTGCAGCAAAAGGTATTTCTTTCGAATCAGAGTGGTGCAAGGCCGACAAGAACAGGCATTTCTAGGTGTCATTATCAAACGTAATGGTCACCAAGCGACGTGCATATGACGTCGCCGTTCGCGAACTTCGAAGAATGTACGATGTTTTAAAATGTTCGAAGTTGCTGTACGCGTTTCCGTTCGGCAAAACGTTTGACAACGTACTCCGCATTTTCGAAGAATATAATAAGGTTTCGATCGTTTAATGTTGATTTTCGATCTTCGCGAATCAAGAATAGAGCTCGTAAAAAATTTACGTTCCCTTATAAATGCAATTGCTCCAGAAAAAAATCGAGGCTGAACCTTCGGCAATTAGCGTGTTTCCTTTATGAACGCCAGGATAATATCCTGACTTTAAATGACGCGATAAGTCATAATTGATATTAATTTCCAACAAGTAGATAATACTCTCTAAAACTTTTAGAACAAAATTCATTCTAAAGAGTAAAATCTCATTCTTAAACATTGAAAATTCAAACACTTTTTTTCAAGATTGGATCACTTTTCACTCTTTAGAGTGAAATCCTCGCAAGAATTTAGACAGTATGTAATTATATAATAGATCCGCAAACTTAAATGCATATTCTCAATTTTGTGTAATCCGAAGTTTTAATAAATAATTGTTTATACGTACGTTTAAAATATCTATTTTGGTCCGATCGTATATTTGTGTCTAAATATCACTTGGCATTTCTGCAGAGCGTTAAAATGGTGTCTATAAAGAAGCTCGGAATTGGCGGTGGAGTTTCATTTATCTTCGGCATTCTACTTTGGTTCGGTTTTCCAGCATTGATTAAATCGCAAATTAAAAAGGTGAACGAATGTAATGAATTTAATAATAAATTTATTTTTATTTTTGTATAAAATATTTTAATCTTAATATATAAAGAAAATATAATATAATCAAATGATCACACGCTTGTTAAGAAAAATATATTTCTATAACACCTACATTTTTTACTTGAGTAATTTTCTTATATTATAAATTATAGACTTTTCAATAATTTTATTTCTGCGTGCAAAATTAATTTCCAAGAGATATACGCATATATGTTTTTCAGATTATTCACAAGATTCCGTTTTCCAGGTTTTCACGAAAAAATTGTTTATTAATGTTATATCGTAAATATTAATAAATTTTCATATAATTTAAAAAAATCTTTTCGTTGCCATTCTCAGAAATTTTGCGTAAGCATCTTCTAAGTAATTATTATTTTGTAGTTTATGTATCGTGAAATATTCAAGTCATTCCATGAAAGCATATGTCACGAAATCCTTGAACCCCAATTATGATTATATATTGTTACAATAATATATTATTTTGACATTTTATTGCAATATAATTTCCTATCCAAAAACAGTAGAATTAATTTTTTTCCGCTATACCGTATGAAACGATTATAGACGCATTTTCCGAATTAATTTTATGTAACCGGATAAACATTTGTTTTACTTTCACATCTATAATTACTGTAACATTCACTGACATAAATGTTCGCGTCTATTGCTAAAACTATAATTTGTGTGATCCACAGGGATACAGATTCATTTTTTATTGTAACATTTTAAATAATATGCCATCAAATTCGTTGTTAACAATCAAGAGCCTTGCTTGTAATCTGACAAGATTTAACATAAATGTGTAGGCGGTTCAACTGAAACCAGGAAGTGAGATACGCGATATGTGGACGGTTGTTCCGTTTCCATTGGACTTTAAGGTTTATATGTTCAATATAACCAATCCTGATGAAATTAAGGAGGGTAAAAAGCCAAGGGTGCAGGAAGTCGGGCCGTTCTTCTACGAGTAAGTAACTTTTTTTTAATCTGATACTCTCAATATATACAAAAATTTATGATTTAATATTTAAAATCTAATGGCACATTTTAAATCTAATACTCGCAGAATTTATAAATTTGACATCAGTATCTAAAACCAACTTTGTTTCCGTTTTTTTTTTGTTATTAACAATTAAATTCTATATCCAATTGCTCACATTTTTTATTATAAGTGCATGGAAGAAACAATTTTACTAAAATTGCTAAAAATTTAGATACAGATCTGAAAATAATTTTGTTAAACATAAGTTAATCGTTAGAATTTTTTGCAACATTGTCCATTATGTTTGAATGTCTTACAGAATTATTTTGTTAGTTTAATAAAATCATTTTCAGATTTGTATCTAGCTAAATTTTTAGATACTTCAGCAAAATCATTCTTTCCACGTGTAGTCAATTTTGTTTTAATCGGCCTGAACTTTTTTTTATTTAATTCACATTAATCAAGAATCACGTCTGCTTTCATAAATTTGTTCATTCTCAAATCTTTTAAAATATTAACATTTCATCATTTAAAATATCAACTTCAGCGAGTACAAGGTGAAGTTTGATCTCGTCGATCGAGAAGATGAGGACTCTGTTGAATATAGCATGAAGACAACGTGGTTCTTCAACCCCAAGAAGAGCAACGGATTGACAGGCGAGGAGATAATGGTCTTCCCTCATCTCATGATTCTGGGCATGGTGGGAGCCACCCTTCTGGACAAACCCGCTGCGATCGGTGTCGTCGGTACGTACATATGATTTATTAGTATTAAATATTTCCTTTCAATGTCGTGTATCGATTGCAGTCGCGAATCGGCTGTATTGCACAGGGTCGACGCGGACTATAATAATAAATGTGTGCCGGAAGGTTTAAAGTGGAACGTGAGATACATTTTCCTATAGTGTACGTACACCTTGGGCGAAGGTGCGAATTATTTATAAGGCCTCCGTTGCCTCAATCGTCATCATATTATATTTGTAACGCGTGCATTGCCTCGTGCGACGATTAAATTCAATTAATAAAAATAGCGAGCAATTTATAAAAAATGTTATTATATTAATCCTAAAACATATATTCATATTCTCTCTTGTTAAAATTTATTACCAATGAATAACGTAGGCAAAGCCGTCGATAGCATCTTCCACAAACCGGATTCGATATTCGTAACAGCGAAGGCAAAGGACATACTTTTTGACGGTCTGCCTATCGATTGTGACGTGAAAGACTTCGCCGGATCGGCGGTGTGCAATCTATTGAAGACGGAAGCGAAAGATCTGATACCGGACGGTGAAAATCACTACAAGTTCTCCCTCTTTGGCGGGGTAGGTACACTGAAAAAAAATTTACTAAATCTTGATGCATTTCGTTGAATTGTCAGTAAAAAAACATTTACTTACAGTATATAAATATTATTTTAATAAAAAAAATAATAGTTAAATCAAATTAATGATTTTTGTATCAAATATAGATATGTTTACATTTAGTAAATATTTAGAATTATTAAAACAAATCTTTATTAAAATTTAATGTTTTCTCAGTGTGGTTTAAAAAAAATTGATAAATTATTTAATACAAAGATTGTGCATTATTATCTTCAAGCACAATCAGTACACATACATGTGTTTAAAGTACTGATTGTGCTTGAAAGATAATAATGCTGTAATAAATGAAGAATATTCATATGTTGCCACAATTATTTTATGGATAAAGTTGTTTAAAATTTTCTAAATATATTGTTGAGTGATTTAAGTGTTGTTTCTGAAACTATATATTTTTGTATTATATCTTTAGATAATGTGAACATTATTTTAACGTAATTCTGTAACATCCCTGATTTCTTGGAGATATGATGATAAAGTAGATAAAGTAGCCTAATTGCATGTTAAAAAAAACGAGTCACGCATGGAGATAATAATAAACTATTATGTTGCATCTGGTAATCTCGCGAGATGGTTACATTATACTTGTGAAAAGTGCATGCATAAAAAGTATGCAAAAATTACAGAAATTTATTACATTGTTCTTTAATAAAAGTACAATTTATTATTTCACGAAAAATTTAACATTTATAGAAAAACGGTACCGCCGTGCCGGAACGTATGAAAGTTCTGCGTGGTATTAGAAATTACAAGGAAGTCGGTCAGGTCTTGGAATTCAATGGTAAGCCCGCATTAGACATCTGGCCGGAGGATCACTGCAACGCTTTCAACGGTACCGATTCGACAATTTTCGCACCTTTATTCGGACCGGACGATGACGTCGTCTCATTCGGCTATGAGATCTGTCGAAGTCTTAGTGCGCATTTCGAGCGCCACACCAAAGTCAAAGGTATGTATTTAAAAAATTTTTAATATAAAATTTAAATTAAACAAGTAGTGAGATTAGAATTGAGGCTTTAATGTCTCGAAATGCAAAAACATTTGCAGAATTATGCATACTTTGTTATTAAAAAATGATGTAACGCTTTATATCTTTTATAAAACTTATAATTATATAATTTTTTGAAATATCGAAACACAATATGTGACATAAATTAATATATATGTATGTTACTTATTACTTTACTGTTTAGTTATTACTTTAACTTTATTTTTAATAACAATCTCGAACAGGCGTCAAGACTCTCCGTTACACTGCAGGTTTAGGAGATATGAGCACGAATCCTATGGAAAAGTGCTTCTGCCGAACACCGGACACTTGTATGACGAGAAATTTCTACGATATGACGAAATGTTTAGGCGTCCCTATTATTGGATCTCTACCGCATTTTTACGATACCGATGGAAAATATTTAGAGATGGTGGATGGCTTGCACCCGAATCAGGTAATCGACAGAGAAACAATATATTGCGACACAATCATAATAGTTATAAATAATTTTATAAAATAACTGTAACGAATTAAATATGAAAGATTTGTAATTTTGAATAAACGGTATTCATCGACAGGCTGAGCATGAAATCGACATGGATTTCGAACCGATGACGGCTACGCCAATAAGCGCGCATAAGCGATTGCAGTTCAATATGTTTATACAACCAGTACCAAAGTTTAAATTGATGAAGAATTTTCCAAATGCACTACTGCCTCTGTTTTGGGTAGAGGAAGGAATTCTTCTCGGCGATGAGTTCGTCAACAAAGTGAAGGTGGTGTTTAAAGTGTTGGCGGTCGTCAAGTAAGTGTTAGGATTTGCGGCAATTTTTTAAATAATTATATTTAACAATATCAATATAATGTTAGTAATAATAATTATATGTATAGAGTGCTATCAACAGTAAATGTATGACCGAAAATGACTATAATTATACATATAGTTATTGTTGCTATAAAAATTATTAAAATTACTATGATAATTACATGATAAGAATATAAGGTGTTTTATTGCGCAAAATGGCGACTAAATATATTTGGGGCTAGTTTCTGATTGGTAGCAAATTTTTAATAGCTGCCTTATGGCTTACAAAATTTATTAAATTTCTGATTGGTCATCCGACTGCACATAAACGGAAATGAAACATCTGGTATTCTTATATGGCAATTACTATGATTTAATTTATAGTCATTTTTTGGGACAACCATATAAATATCAAAAATTTTTTTTTTAGTGTATAATTTAATTACATATGCCTTGCAATCAATTTAACATCATTCGTATAATTATTTCTTTCTTCAATTTTTTTTTGGATCACCGATGTGATGAATCATTTATTAATTTGATACTACGATTTGCAGTTTTCTGAAGTGGCTGCTAGTATTAGGAGGGATAGGCATGGGCGGCGCGGCCGGATTTTTCTACTACAAGAATCGCGATAGCGGCAAATTAGATATCACAAAAGTTATTCCGAAGGCCAGCGGGGACGACAACAATCCGGAAAAGAGCTGGCCACCTGGGATGAACATCAGCACGATACAAGCGTCGGTACCGCCCAGCCTCGACAGAAATTAAATCGCTATTAGCGGAAGGCTAATATGAACATTAATGTCGCGAAAGTCCATCCCCCTTCAGTCCCAGATCTCTTTCTTTAACTAAAATCATTATTAATGTATATAATTGAGCAGGCTTATTTTCAAATATGACGAAGTACAAAAGTGTTGTTTTAAAAAGAATAGGATAATAAACTATCCTTTTTTTTTTATGAAAGTAAAATAAGAATTTAATGTGGCGGCATTAAATGACTGAAGGACTAAAAGGGCTAAAGTTATCATGACTAATATGTATAATAAACAATCATGGCAATGATGTTGTTGCCATGCATATCTGCAGCTGACATTTCAGCCCAGATTTACCAAAGATAACATGACAGATAAATGCGGTTTTTTCTTTAAAAATGATCAAACTCGAGAATATAAATAAGGATAAGACTCAATGCGTCATGTGAAACATAATTGAAGTTAATTATTTAACTACCTCGTTGTAAGAATGTTACAAATCTCTCATTTTGTAATGCACTTGTAATAATGTACACTGTACAGTGAAATATGAATCAGCAGTTCTTAATCTTTGCTTCTCGGTTCGTGAATCAATTATGTAAATATATTTGAGATTTTTCAACTTTAAACTTTATGAGAATTTTAAAACGCGTTTTATACCGTTAATGCAACTTTAGTTTTATAATATAGCGATTCGGCATGCAAAGATATAGAAAGACTAAGAACCGCTGACAATAGACATACATAATTAGTTATTCTTAATGAAAAGGAACCGTTTAGATTTAGAGATTTTAAGTATCTTCTAATAGATTAAATACAAAACTACAACTACCATCATCCGACTAAGCATCATATAAAGCGAGTAAAAATGGCAAATGCCATTAATAATAAAGAAATAATATATTTATCTAATTTTTTTTTGTCGAAATATATAAATAAAATTATTTTTAAAATACTAAAACTAAAAGACTAGAAATTTACACATTTATTTTAACAAATAAATAAACAATTTTCACTACTTATGTGTCATTAATTTTTGTAGACGATGATCTTATAAAAAGGAAAACATCGATAAGTGTCAACAAAAATTTTTAAATCGTAAACAAATGCATTAAATAACAGATATAAATTATACATTATTTATGTATTTAACATTTCCGTCTAATTATTTATATTCAGACGTTCAGCTGAGTATCAGTAGACCCTCCTTTCGCTTATTTTCTGTTCATCTTTTACACAGCAACACATATCTATACGCGCTCCTGTATTCGGAGCTCATCACAACATAGATAACAGGATTGATGCAGGTCGTCAGATAGATGAGTATGTAGCCGGCGATATTGAGACCCTGCCAGTCCTGGAAGACCGCCCCCTGGAGAAGCTTCGTGACAGTGATCGGCAGGTAGCACACTAGAAACGACACGAATATCACGAGGATCATCTGTAACAGTTTCCGGTCCTTGGCGGACATCCTGGGCGTAGCATACTCGGGCATACCGTTACACTTTCTACCGACACTCATGAACTTTGACTGTCTGCGAAACGCCTTCCTTGCATGAGATTCGTTAATTTCTTCGAGTGATCTGGAACTCAATCGATTCGAGTGTTCGCCACCGGCGATCCTTTGTAATGAGGTCTCCACTATAAAGGATGCTTGACCAGTCAACCTGCCCAGTCGACCACAAGGGTTTTCCGACAATTTCCATTGCAGTTCGCATTGGTCCCGATTAAAAAACAGTTTCGTTTCTGTATCCGATTTCTCGATTGCACGTTCGTCTACAAATGGTATATCTTCCGATAGGCTGGCTTCAGAAGCATCGTAACCGTTATTGGATTTCGCAATATTCGTAGTTTGATCATCTGTATGCATATTCATTGTATCATTCGTTTTTTGTTCGTGGATTAGCTGCTTGGACGATGATGAATCTTCATTGGCGGATGTAGATGGTAGTTCGAGATTCTTTCCTTCGTTTGGATTAAGAAGAACGACTTGCATCGATGAGAAAGGAACGCAGAGGACAGAGAGCTCTTGCTCTTGATTTTTCATAATAGACGGTTGCTGTAAAGATGATTAAAATAATAAACTAAGATTTAATCAGTAATTTAAAAAAATATAATTAAACTTTGATAAATTAAATAAAAAATTTAGTTTAGCAAAATTTTTGTATAGCATTTTTTAGCTATTTCGTTATATATAGTTTTCTTTTATAATATACTCTCTAATTACCAATGTTTTATTTATTTTTATTTATTTAATTTGAAGTATACAAATTCCCAAGTTTGTCGTCAAGCATAAAACTTTTTTCAACAAAACATATAGAGAGATAAAAGAATCGGTCTTTTTTTTTTATTCTTTGAAATGTATTTTCTGCGATTTACTTTCCCTTGAGTTGAATCTTTTTCCTTCTTCTTTGTTACAGAAATAAATAGATCTTACGTCATGGCTAGTTTCCGTCGGTTCTACATTGAAGATCTTCACTCTGCTTCTACTCTTCGAAGCAGTTTCGCGAACGATGTAGAAAATCCTAGCATAGCAAACGATAATAGCGAGGCAAGGTATTAAAAATGCGAGGACAAAAAGGAACTCTTTTGGACTCCGCCCGTTTATGTCCGGCAGAATCGTACAGGATCCGATAACAGGATCCAATCCAAAACGTCCGAATCGTTCGAACCACGTGACGACCAGCAAGCCAAAAGCAATAATCCATATCGCCAAAACCATCGGTATTAAGAACTTCGTTTTATACAACCTTTAAATAACATTTCAATAATTAATTTGTAATAGAATTCAGAAAATAATTTCTTATATAGAAAAATGAAAAAATTTAAAACAGAAAAGATTTTAAATCAAGGCTCGGTTTTTGAGAAAATTAATTTTTAAATTATTCACTGTAATAATTTTATTTATTTATTAGCTTTTACAGGCTCAATAATCATTTAGTATTTGATTTATTAATAAACAAAATAGTTATATGAAAAATAAATTATTTATATGGAATAAATTAACTTACATAGAATAGAGACTAGGATGACCGATCATGACGTAGCGATTGATTGTGATCGCGAGAACGCTGAAGAGGCTGACTGCAACGAGGCCGTACCTCAAGAGCGGAAACAGCCGACATAGAAGTGGTCCGTGCAACCACGACCTGTGCCAGAACGTTGAAGTTGCGAGTGGTAGATTGAAACAGCAAAACATCAAATCTGATATCGAGAGATTCATAATGAAGACCGCGGTAGCGTTCTTTAGCTGTAACAAAATTAATTGTAAAAAGTTGTAGAAATTTTACATTAAAAACAAAATTAATATTAAAAAATTTAAATTACAAAAATATTTCTTTACAAAATATCTCTATTATTGGTTGAAATTGCTTTTTAAGATTTATTTGGAACATTTAAATAAATCATTTTGCATCTAATTATAATACTTTATTGTTGTGCGTTATTAGAGCATGTATTTGATGATACATGTATAATAACAAAGAAATTATTGACGTGAAAATTAATTCGCGGAATTATCGAATAAACTCTCTCGAATTTCTCGAAGTAAATACGATAAAATTGATGGAGACTTCTCGATTCAGTTCTAGTTGATTTTATCAGAATAGAGTACGTGAACCTTCGCGAAAACACATGAATGTATATGCGGTCGGTTCTGCGTAATCGATTCCAAACTTAACTCATTGATGATTGACTTCGGTGAGAAATTTAGCCATAGAATCGTGCCGACGACCTCCTTTTCAACCTCATAATCGATATTTTTTAATAACAAACATATTAGAAGCAAAATACGTTTTATAAAACAATTATTTCGTGTTCGGAAATCTCTAAAAATTTGTGCTTTTAAAATGAAATAGGTATACTCAAGCGTAAAAGAGAGAAAAAGTGAAAATGGCAATAGAAAATCAACATGTAAGATTAATAAAATATAAAACTTAAATAATACAGAATCCTTTTTTATAAAATAAAACTATTAAGAATATTAGACTGAGGAACATTTTGTATTTGACGTCCGTCTGTATTTGACGTTCATTTTAACGTCATTGCAGCTTGGCTTAACTGCTTGTAAGACTAAAGAGGTATAATGACTCGAGGTAAACCACTCGGCAGCTTTTAAAATTTCTGCGTAGCCGGAAAGCAATGCCGGAAACTTGAGTAATCTTACATAATACGGATTCGTTATACTAGAATCTTTTGAGCACGAGTCGAGAAAATTATTGCAATAAATAGCTCAAAACGATTTACAAAATGCTTTATTTGTACATTAAACATTTCTGAATATTTTCTTTTAGAAAGGAATTTAATTGTAACATCAACACGTTGACATATTATTATATTTCTGAATTAATCCTCCTTTTACGAATCATCATTGTTTCATGCAACACCAACAATCAACGAATCAAAATTGCGCGAAATTCATATCGACAAATTTACTAATCGATCAATTTTCAGCTTGAGCTGTGTTTGCTTTCTCCCTATTCGCATTTTCTTTTTATTATTATCATATTATTTTTTATACAAAGCTACATAGGACAGGATTTTTTATTACAAAGTTACCTTTTTGGTGCGAAATAATGCGATCACCGTAATGAGATTTCCCGGAATGCCGACCAGCATGAAGAGGATGCAGCAGGCGGCGGCGAAGCACAGCAGCCACCGTGGATAGTCAACGAAGAGGATCACTGATCCCGGATCCTGCAGCATCTCCTCGATTGCTAAGTCGTCGCTGCTGTTGCGTCCGGTTTCGTTGTTCGTCATCCACCAGTGTTTCAGCATCTGTGGAAGACCCGAACTCTCGCCGAGTACGTCTACGAATGTCGTGTCAAGACCATAAATAGAGTCTTGACATTTTACATTTCGCCATATATTTATTTATCTTGATTTAGGGAGAGAACCCTTTAAAATAATAATCAATAACTGTTTATAAATCAAAAGCTCTGTTATTATATATATGTAATCTTTATTTTATATTTAATCCACCATAAGAAATTACATAATATAGAGTGATTTAAACAATCGTAATTACTTTCTAAAACTTTTAGAATGAATCTTAATTAAGAGAGTAAAATCTCACTCTTTCGAGTGAGATTCCACTTCAAAAAATTTAGAAAGTACTAATTATTATCATGTCGTGATTAAGCGATAC